GGCTCCCCTGGGGCCACTTCTCCTGTTCCTTGCCATTGTGAGAATTTTGGATGATGGTGCGATCGAATGTGGCGTTGTGTGATCTCAGCAATGGTGTGTTGTTTATATTTCGTCGCGTCGCAAAAGGCGGCAGGCCATAGGGGCTGCTGGTCGGGAGACCAGACGCATCATGGGTCCGTTCACAAAAACTGCGAGCGCCGTGAATCTACCATATACTTTTAGGTGGCAAGATGAACATTTTTTCAGAGTCTTGTGAAGGTGACTGGAAGAAAGGCCAGCAACACTAAAACCCCGGTATAATGTACTCAGAAGAGAACAGCAGCCCTGGAAAGCCAAGGATGGGAAGTTGACCCGATTTTGAAGTCGAGAAGAAGAGTCCGCATTGTCTTGTTGTTAATTAGGGCTTCCGAAGCGGGCCTTCGAAGCGGGCCTCCGAAGCGGGCTTCCGAAGCAGCTTATCTCATTCACTACTCGACTGCGTCGCCTGCGCGGAAGATGGGCAGAAATACGCTTGACCGGCACAGCAGGCACTTGAGTCCCTTTGCTCGTGGATGGAGCGCAGTCTCGGGCACGTCGCAGGCCTCATGGGTGTGTTGGTTGACCCTCCTGGAGCTCCGATGAAGTAAACACTACCCCTTGAAGTTAACACTTCGCAGTCACCTCGACTCCGGATTTTCGACAAACCACCCCACAGCGTCGTACTGCATGTTGGAGCCAAGCGAAAAGAAAGGACAATGTATGGGCAGGCGCTCGACACCATGAGAAGCACCTTTACGGTAGGGCAAGCGCTCTTTGACATCGATTCGAAGAGAGGGCTCACTTGCGCAGGCCTCGCAAACAACACGAGCGTGCCAAAACATCGAAGCGCCATATCCAAGGACCACAAGAAGAGCCACAAGAAGGGGCAGGAGGAAGCACATGGGCCATAGGAGTGGCCACAGCAAGCCCCGAAATTACCGTCCGCAACGTTGAAGCAAGACTCAGGCGAAAATAGCACCATGGTAGCGTGCATCACGCTTTCTGGCAAGGTCCGGACGCGATGGCATCGACAGCTCATTCTCAAAAGCCATCATGACGCCCCCGAACGACGAGCCGTTGCCCATGCCCTGGTGGGTGGCATCATGGCACCCTCGAATCCCAGACTGGCCCAAGAGTGTCGTTAGGGGTACGAAAGACCAAACGACGACAAGAAGAACGCAACGACAACCCAACATCATTACTCCCTTGCTCTTTACGAAGTCGAGCTGGTACCCGAAGAAAGATACCCAGCACAAAGGACAGACTGAGAAACTTGAAAGAAACGTGGCAGGTCGAAGCCAAACACAAAGGAAAAGGACGAAAGAGCCAGGACAAAAAGATGGCAGACGAGTCCGACGGCACAAGGCGTCGATCACCAAGGGTACTACAATTAGGGGCCTTGGGAGGGTGTCTTAAGTGAAAGACAAGCATTGTGTCCGAGCTGGGCCTGGAAATTCATCCGTCTCTGGTGCTGGCAATTGGTTGCATTGCCAGCAGTACAGTATCCAAGACAAGCATATCATTCAAACTGGGACCGGACGAAGAGCCAGGAAAGAGAGCCCGGAAAGAGGAAGCTTATTTATCCGTCTCCAACGCCGGCAGTGTGCATCGCCAGCATCGTCCATGACGGCAATGGAAGGAGGGCCGGTGATCCAGCAAAAGCCTTTGCGCGAAGAGGCCTGTGAGAAGCGCAAGCGCATCGCTGAAGCTAGGCCAGGAAACGAAGCCAGGAAAATGCATTCATCTGCAATCCTGGTAATCGATGACATGGCCAGTATTTCGCAGTCCAATCGCAAAAGTTGGCGGACGACAGGCAATCCAGCCTCAAAACTCCTTCGAAACCTTCAAAAAAGAGATGCAAGATTAACCTTTGGCGGGGGGCGGCCGCCGTCCGTCTTGGCGTCCGTCCCTCCCACTTGGAGGACCCGGTTCGACGCGGACGAAAGCATCGCGGACAAGCTAACCGGACGAGCGGTAGAAGCGGGAACCTCGCAACGCAAGCTCCCCATTCCCACACTCGCTGCTGTGGCAGCACGGCGGTATAAACAACGTCGACTGGCAGTGGGGCGAAAAGAAGAGGTGAATCAACAACTCGAGAGCTTGATTCGACAACATCCAAAAATGGAGCTGGTGCAGAGCAGCATTTCGGTACCGACGATGATTCTTACGGCCACGGTGGCTGGCGTCACTTGGGTGGCATGGCAGGCCATGTACAACATTTACTTCCATCCGCTGGCTCGGTTTCCGGGGCCCAGAGCAGCGGCGGCCACGCGCTACTGGAAGGCGTGGGTCGAGTGCTTCCAGGAAAAGTCGTTTTGCCACGAGCTCGAAAAGCTGCATGCGCGGTACGGCAAGGTCGTTCGCGTCGGGCCAAACGAGGCAAGTAGTTGTCCGCCAGCTCCCATTGATCCAATTGTCGATGATGCTCCAGACTAATGCTCCAAGTCAGCTTCATTTCTCCGAGCCGGCGGCATACCACGACATTTACAATGCGCGCAATCGGTGGGACAAGGACCCGTTCCTGTACCGTTCCTTTACGCAGGACGAGTCGTCGTTCGGCTACCTCGACTACCGCTCGGCCAAGCAGCGCAGAGATGTGCTGGGCAAGTCATTCTCGCCGGCAGCGGTGCTGCAGTGCGAGGAGCTGCTGGTCGAAAAGGTCGAACAGCTCTGCAGCGCGTTTGAGAAGTGTGCCCGGAACCGCGAGGATGTCGACATGAATTTTGCCTACCGCTGCTTTACCATCGACGTGATCATGTACCTCTGCTTCGGCACGTCGCTCCACGCCCTCGAGGCGCCGGGCTTCCGCGCGCCCGTCCTGGTTGCCATCGACACGTCGGGTCCAATTGGTTCTCTTTTCAAGCATTTTCCGTGGTACAAAAAGCTGGTGCTTGCTGTGGCGCCGCTCATGACCAAGGTGTTTGAGAATCCGCGCATGGCTGGCATGGTTGAGCTGCACGACATGCTTCGAGGCCAGGTCCACGACGTGATCAAAGACCCGAAGCGTGGGCTCCAGCACTTGCCACACGGCATGACCATTTACCATCGGCTGATGGACCCGGCGGCGCATCCGGCCGGCGAGGGGCCTCCTGGGGAAAAGAGCCTGTGGGAAGAGGCGCAGACGTTGGTGTATGGCGGATCAGAGACGGTCGGATATGCGCTGATGGTTGGGACTTTTCATCTGGTCAAGGAGCCGAAGAAGCTGCAGAGGTTGGTGGAGGAGCTGGAGGCCGCGTGGTCTGCGTCTTCTGGGGATAGAGCGCCAGCCTTGAAAGAGTTGGAAAGACTGCCGTACTTGGATGCGGTCATCAAGGAAAGCTTGAGGCTCAGCTCTGGTGTTGTGGCCGGACTGCCGAGAGTCGTACCACGAGAAGGTGCCACGATTTCGGGGGAGAGTGTGCCAGGCGAGGCAAGTCAAGATAACCTGTTCGTGGTCCCGCTACTTATACGTAACTCGCAGGCAGTTGTTTCTACAGGAAGCATATTTGTGCATAGAAACGCAGACATCTTCCCCTCGCCTCACTCATTCAACCCTGAGCGCTGGCTCAACGAGCCTGGCTTGGAAAACTGGCTTGTGGCCTTTGCTCGCGGGCCGCGCATGTGTTTGGGACACAAGTGAGTGGACAGAATCGTCCGGAAGGCGGCGGAGCATGGAAATGATGCTGACCAGTCGCAGTCTCGCATGGGCAGAGCTGCGCCTGACATTTGCGTACGTTTTCCACCGATTTGGGCGCGACATGAAGCTTGCAGCATCAAGGTATGAAGGCCCAATCAATTCTCAGCAAGCACGTCACTGAAAAGCAGGCAGCACGACTGAGTTGAAGTTTCGCGACGCATTCATGCCGCGCTACCTGGGGGAGCACGTGAAGGTGGAGATCGCGCCCCCAAAGCCCTGATGTTGAGAGCTTCGCAGAAGACCTTGATGATGGCTTTAGTGCTTGTCTCTTTTTGATTCGATGCGTTGAAAGATCTGCGGAGAAGGACCAAGAAACGAAGGTTCCTGGCATGGACGTGGAAGGAAACAAGCAAAATGAGAATGCAGTGGCGTTTGACGTACGATTCTCCGTGTATATCGCTGCTCTTTACAGTTGTCTTTGCGACGCAAGGAAAACAGCGAGACCCTCATATAAGATGTCGAACGAAAACCAAAAACGTCGGAATGTGTGGAAACTTACCCGCCTCTGCCTGCGCATGGGGCTCGAGAGCTGAGATATCGCCACAGACAGTGAATAGGGAAGCGAAGCGTATGTCAATATTCCGAAGCCAAAGCGCGTACGCGCGGAGAGGCTTGCCGACATGGCCATCAACGACCGCCTCGTTGGCTACGAGGGCAACCACACCAAGCGCGGATTCATCGCTCCGAACACCCTCATCCGCTCAAGGTTCTAGAAGGCGTCTTTGAGGACGATGACGCCCTTGACCAGGCCGCCATTGAGACCATCATGAATGACAGGGCAGAGTTTGCGCCCAATCCTCTGCCTGAGTCCGATTCTGAGGATTCCGGTGAGCAGGGGATGTCCGCCGTCCAGGGTGCGCGAAGCTTTGCCCGTAGCCATGACGGCGAAGAAAAACCTTCCGCACAATCGAAGTAAACGTGTTGGGAAACTTCAAAGGAGATTCAATCGTTCCACTGGCGCCAGCTCACTCAGGTGGCAGCTCCGCCGTGCAAGCCCAACGACAGCCGCGTGGGGTTCGATTGGAGGGCGAATGACTGAAGAAAGACGAGCAAACGAAATCTCTGCTCTTCTGAAAAAGAACCGCACTCGCAGCGACGAAAGCGCGACAAACACCGCGCGTTGTCGTCGTCTTCGCCAGCGTGCCCACCCAGCCACCGCCCTCCCGTCGCTCGCTAGGTTCACAAGCCAGGACCCCCCAACCAAACGCGCCCAAAATCCCTCCCGCCGTGCCCCACATCACCCACGCACAGGCCAGTGCATACACATCATAAACGCATTACCCCGCCTCGATTTAAATAATTTGACGGTACGATGGCCGAGTGGTTTAAGGCGATAGGTTTAAGCTTAGCTAAACACGCAAGTAGCATCATACGAGCTGCTCCCTATTGGGCGTAAGTCCGCGTGAGTTCGATCCTCACTCGTACCAAAGGTGTTCTTTTTGCACTTTTGCCCGCTTATTTGTGGGGGCGTGGGGTCGTCCTTTACTTTTGCGGGTGGAAGATGGGCGAGTGAAAGTGGGATGAGAGTTGGGGAGATTGATCGGCTGTCGTAGGGCGTGTGCCGGGGTTTTGACAGGGCAATCGTGATGCGTTGAGCCGTGGAAGCAGTGGTAAATCATCTCCAAATCGATTGCTGTTCCAAAATCTCGCAGCGCCAAATCCAGGCGGGTATCCGTATCTCTACCGTTTCTTACGACGAACAAGCACTTGCGCTCCGCTGTACACTACATACATATGCACGCCCTTTGACAAGCCGACGACGACGAGCAATCTACAACCGTGCCTTCGGGCCCTCCTCCTCCTTCAGGGCCCTCTCCTTGAGCAGGCGCCGCAGAATCTTGCCGCTCACACTCTTGGGAATCTCGTCCACAAATCGCACGCCGCCGCGAAGGCGCTTGTGGTGGGCGACGCGCTCCGTCAGCCAGTCGACAATCTGCTGCTCCATCTGCGGGCTGCGCTCGACGCCTGCAACCGGGACGATGTAGGCACGGGGTACCTCGGTCGCCTGCTGCTTGTCATAGATGCCAATAACAGCGACATCTGAGACGGACGGATGCGAGACGAGGAGGCCCTCGAGTTCCGCGGGTGGGACTTGGAAGCCTGTTTTGGTTAGCAATTTGTGGCCAGGAGTATACAAGACGACTCACCCTTGAACTTGATCAGCTCCTTGACCCTGTCGGTAATGTAAAAGTGCCCATCTTTATCCTGGAAGCCGACATCTCCTGTCCTGAAGAAGCCATCGTCCGTGAGTGCGTTCTTGGTGGCCTCTGGGTTCTTCCAGTAGCCCTTGAACACATTTGGCCCCTTGATCCACAGCTCGCCAGTTTGGCCGACTGGCACCTCTTTCTCCTCAGGACTCATATACTTGCCAGTCTGATTCGGCAACAGCTTACCCACAGCCCCAATCTTCTTGTCCCAATCCGTCCACTCTTGCGCGTGTGTCGTTGGGCTGGTCTCGCTGAGACCGTAGCCTTGCTTGACGGGAATTTTGCGCTTGGCAAACAAATCGTTGACAAGCTCGCGGGTTAGAGGTGCGGCGCCAGAGTTGGTCATGCGCAAAGAGGAAAGATCATACTTGTCGACGAGAGGGTTCTTGGTGAGCATGAGCACGACGGGAGGTACGAGATATGCAAATGTGATGCGGTAGTCTTGGACAATGCGGCAAAACTTTTCCAGCTCAAACTTGTCCATGACTACAAGCTGCATGCCGGCGAGCATGCTGTGATGTATCAGACACGTGAGACCTGACACCGTTAGCTGCTTTCTTCTACATTCGACGACTTGCTTACCGTAAATGTGGAAGAATGGCAGAAAAGCAAGGACCTTGTCCGACGGTCCGTGAGGTCCGTCATCCCAGTGCAAGTTTGGGCCTTCGACTGCGAAATTCATCAGGGTGTTTGCGACGATGTTTCTATGCGTCAGCATCACACCCTTGGGGTGTCCGGTGGTGCCTGAGGAGTAGACGAGGAATGCGAGGTCTTCATCGGGCTTGATCTTGGTCCTCCTGAAGCGGGCTGTCCCAGAGATGTTCCTTATGCTCGTAAAGTGCTTGACCGTCCCGCTCGGGTCCCTCGCGTCGCCCATGACGATGATTCTGTTCTGAGGTATGCCCGCAACTTCGGCCGCCTTCTTGACCATGGCCACGAGCGGCATCTGGGTGACGACTGCCTTTGCGCCAGCATTTTTCAGCTGGAAAGCAAGCTCGTCAACTGTGTAGGTGGGGTTTGCCGGTGAAATGATTCCTCCCGCCCAATGGGTGCCCCATGTTATGGCCGGAGTGTCTATGCAGTTTGGCGAAAACAGGGCAATGACGTCTCCCTTCTGCCAGTCCCAAAGACCCTTGAGACCCTTTCCAAAATCGATTGCGGTCGACTTGACTTGGGCATATGTGTAGGAGCGCTTGGTATTAGGGTCGTGGTAGATTACTGCAGCGCGTTAGCTCCATGTTGGGCTGGTCTCGCACATCGACCATTGGCATGCGAACAGAATTGAAGCTCGTCTCAGCGCGACCCCACCTTTGTCGTCCGGAAAAGGGCGGTCTTTCCTCTCAAACAAAAAAGCCCAAATATCGACATGGGGAACGGTGATTGCGGGGTACGGCGAATCGGTAGGCATTGTTGGAGGCGGTAGCTGGGAGGAAAAAGTGAGACAGATCAGAGACAGAAGCGCAGAACCAGCGAAGGAAATATTTTAGGAGGAAGAGTGCGGCGAGGCCATTGGTATTTCGAGAATTCGAGATAGGGTAAGCGGCATGCGAAGCGGAGCTCGACGCGGGGAGTGACGACGGTAAGTGGAGGTGTGGAGCGCGCACCAACAACCTGGGGAAGAGACCGAGGTCCCAAAGTCCTGGCCGCACACGGGGCGACACATGTCTGAGTCAACGGCCATTACAACTGCCCAGCAGCCGAGGCATCGTCTTGCGCTGGACATCATCTCTCCTTCAACATATTTCTTCCCCAGCCCAATGAAGCCCCCAGAGAGCTGTGACGCAGGGACTCGGTCTGCCTTCGGCGCTTCCGCACACCCATCATGACCACCTTCGCCGAGGCCTCTGCCGTCAAGGCTCTGAGCTCTCACTCGTATGCCGCCAACTTTTACTCGTCGTGGTCTGTTGGCACTGGTCAGTACCCCAGCTCTCCAACGGCTCAGATGCTGACCTCTTGCAGTGCCTCATGGCGGTTTCTTGACCGCGGTATTTCTCCAAGTCGCTGCCGCCCACTTCAAGACCACCCTGGCCAGCCAGAACCAGCCCCACACAATCACCCTGCACCTCGAGTTCCTGCGGCGCACCCAAGAAGGCCCGGCTGTCTTCACCGTCCAAGACTTGAAATTAGGCCGGCAGACGTCCAACATCCACGTGTCGCTGAGCCAAGATGGCCGTGAAGCAGTGGTTGGCTACCTCACCAACTCCAACCTGCACGCCGAAGAGGGAATTTCTCTCGAAACCAGCTGGTCCCTCCACCCGCCGCCGCCGCCGGTCGATCTCGCCAAGTTGGTAGACGACAGGGACGAACATTGGGAGCTGCAGAAGAACCGGCCCTTTCCCAAGTTTCGCAAGGTGTATGGCCATGTCCGCACGTACCTTCCACGCCGTGGCCAGGCCATGCGCAGTTTGGCCGACGAATGGCTGAGGCTTCCCGACGGACAGAGGTTTACAAACGAGACCGTTGGTCTGGTGGCAGATTTGTGGCCGCAGATTGTCGAGGCTTACAGAAAACCAGAGGACACGGCCATGTCTTGGTACCCTACGCTCTTGTTGAATCTCGACGTCAAAAAGGCGCTGCCAGCGGAAGGCGTCGAATGGCTTTTTGCGCGGGTCAGGGCCAAGAAGATCAAAAACGGCCGGCAGGACCTGGAGGTCGTCATAATGGATGAAACCGGCGACATTGTGGCCCTGAGCAGCCAGGTCGCGCTGATCTTGGACTCGTCGAGGAATACGGCAAAGCGACGGCCCAAAGAGGTGAAGCTCTGAGCATTGGCCCGTGCATTCTCCACGGGGACGAGGCACGAAATGGCGGGTCAGGGTGGATGTCCTGTCTCGGCCCCTCGTGAGGCTCTGTCAAACTTCGTCAATGGCGACCTTGGCGGAACGGTCCCTGCGAACTGACGTAATAAGGCGACTCGTTTAAGAAGAATTTCGAGCTTTCTCCGAGCTCTCCACGCGCTTCATGTGGAGACCCCAGACGATGCCCCAAATTTTCCTGGGGTGCCGCCGAGCATGCCCACATCCTTGGGACAGTCCGTCTGCGGTGGTGTCCAGCCCAGCCCGTCCTTTGACGCGGAGCAGCATTGTAGTAGATTTAGAAAGAGCATTGAAGAATCAAAGTTTTCCATATCCACCACACAACATTCAAAAACTGACTTGGTCAGAATCCGTAGACCGGTAGTCCCAGAGCGTCAAAACGTCCAGCCTCGCTACGTTTTCCTCCCTCTTGCCAGCCGGCCACAATTTCCAGTGACGCAATGTCCACGCTCGAAAACATCTTCGCGCCATGTATCCTTCTTGAACATCTATAAAACAACAATCCCCTTCCCACTTCTCGTCCTCATTCTCAATGCAAGGGCGTTTCTCAAACTTCGAATACAGAACGCGCACACTTGTTTCCTCGCTTCTGGTGACCATTCCCAAATCACGACCTCTTTCATGTGTTGGCAACAGAGCTCAGTCTTTGGTAGCGGCCTTCCATCGTCAATCGTTGTCACTGGCTCACAACATCCGTTGAAGAACCTGGTTTGCGTCATTGAGTGGCATCTGCCGCGGGGGCTATGAGGCGCCTGGCAGCGAAACAGTCATCACCAACCCCCCCTTTTCGCTCACCGCTCCCCAAAAGCCAAGTGTGTAGTGTTCTTGTCCATTATGGATACATCCTGGTGCAGTAACTTCGATGGCATGGTTCAGCACTGCCCTGGTTCAACTTGCAGCTGTGGCTACTTTTATACATGCCTCTCCAGCCGCACGGCCGTCATGCGTGAGGCGATTGGGAGCCGACAGCGTGACACTGCCGCCTGCTGCACGGTATTATCGTGGAACTTCCCAGGCGCGCCACGGTCAGCAGACGTGTGGTTGTGCTCGTGACAAAGGCACTGCTGATGAGGTAGGTATATAAACCTCTTCTGAGCTCCAACAAGACCTCCTTTCGCAACACAGCAGGGTGGCCTCCAGAGCTTGCGCCAGCAGTTTGCAATCCAATTACTGTCTCTTTTTGCTCAATGGTTTGACTGCTCTGGTTATTCACACCCTCAAACGAAAGCGACTTCGTCGTTTGCGTGGAAGACAGGAAGAACAAAGACAGGAAGAACAGACATGCCGATCAAAGCGGGCAAGGAGCAGAGAAAGCCTGATAGTGGTAATGCTGCGTCTCATCATCATCATCGTCAAAATCTCGTCATTGAAAGTCATTGTTGATGAAGAATGTCAACGGAAGGC